GAATATTTAAAGCAACTCAGTAAAAGTTCATATGATGCACAGAAGCAGTTAAGATATTTTTAGTGATGCGCCATTGCCATCTAATCAGCATTCAGGAAACATTTCTGAATGGTGTCCCTTTATTCGAAAAGTACCACCATTGCTTGTCCACCTGCTAAATTGATGGCAAACAGTAGTGACTCGCCAATGGTCGTATCATAGTTTTTGGAAGAATGCAAATTGACATGAAGTAGGAGCCGTAAAAAGACGCCGACGAATATGATGCTATTTCAGGGTGTTTGTAAGGCGTGCGAAGGCTCTAGGACAGACAGGCGATGTCATCATTCCGCTAGAGCTCCATTTATTTGTGAGTTGGCCGGCTCATGTTCTATTTATATCAAACCAGTTGAAGTCCCGGCGGACCGCCTGCTCCAGGCAGCGTCTGTGGGTGCCCTCCTGAAAGATAACTCCATAGAGGATAGGCCAAGGGATTGATGGATATGTATTGTATATTGAGGCCAGTTGAGCGCACACAGGTGAGGTAATGTACTCATTTGGAACTACAAAGTGTGGACTCGCAACGTATAAAACCACGGCGAAATGTAAATCCGTCCCCAACGGATTCAGATTGAGGCTAATAATACTCCATTTTTCATTCCCTCTTTTCAACAGAAACATTTGAGTTAAACCGGTGCATCTTAATTGTCCCCACAAATGTGTGATAGTGTTCTCTCCCCTCATATTCATCGGATGTTTAAAAAAAAAAAAAAAAAAATTCAAAGACATTGAGAATGCCCACCACAGTGCGTGAGCAAGCTGGCCAACCCACTATAATCAGGCCATCCCCTCGGGAAGGTACTGGGCAGGTAAGCAGCGCAACGTGGCCTAATGATGGCCAATTAAACCATTGGCTTTTGCCAGCTAGTCTGTTCAACCTGGCAGTGGCCCTGACGTGACATCCACAGGCACAGGAAGACAGAGAGAAAAGGGAGCTCTTCCAAATCAAGCTACCGTGAAGCAAATATTAAACCAAACTCAAAGAGCAGAGAGGGCAAACGTCGAAGAAATTCAACATAAAGGTTTGTATGCCAGTCTAGATGCTAAATCATTGATTAATTGAAATCGTAATCTTGCAGGACATGTTTTCCAATGAATCAGTGCTCATGTAAGGGGCAAATTAAAAGTTTAGTGCGTACGCTCTGCTTGCTATTTGCACACCTGTTATTTGTTCTGTCATGACTGTAAAAAGGCTTTTCAATAAAAATTGTGCGTTTCAAGGCGGTGAAGGGTTAGTCTTGTGATTGTCGAATAAAAAGACAAATTCAAACGATGAACTGAGGTTTGTTACTCTCACTTCAGTGGCACCGCTATGGTTGTGATGTTACACAATGTCGGTCTCGACTTAATTGCGAGAAAATTCTTTATGATGTCACACAACATGTAACATACTATGTGTCTGTAGCAGATTTTCAGACTTTCTGAGTGTTAAAACTAATCAAAAATTTTCTGTGTGGATGAGAAATTTTAATTCGCGCGGACATGGCAGAAATGCATCAGGCCATCATATGCTCAATCGAGAGCGGCAAGTGGACCCTCTTATTGCCCTTTTCACACTTTAACTGACTCCACACTTAAAATCATCCCAATTCAAAAATTAGCCGATCAACTCTGAACTGCACTTGAAATTGGCTTAAATTAAAACATTACTGACTTCATTCACTGAACATCAAAGGAAGTGTCAATTCAAAAATAATTGGCCACCAGCAAAAAAAAAAGGCAGTGGTAACCTCATTTGCAAAAAGGTAAACATACTACAGGGATAAATTCACCAGGAAAATCTGACTGGTGAAAAAATAATCCAAAACATGAATTCTTTGGAGTGACAGTAAGGTGGAATGAATTATCCAACAAAAACAGAGAGCTACAGGGGAACTCAATATAATATTCATGTCACAAAAAGACACGAGAAAAATGTAAAAAAAAAAGTAAAATGCTGATTTGTTGAAAACAAAAACTGAACATTGCAAGGCAGACATGGGCTGCTTTTAAAACGAGATACAGATAGAGCAAAACAATGAGGGTACAAAAAGAGACTTCCATCTATTTTCTGTACTGTTTATCAGATTTATGGATGCAAGGCAGTCGGCTTCACTACGAAGTAGGCCACAAAAAATGGAGGGAATAATTTTGCCGAAAAACTGTTAAGAAAGTGGGACTGTAGAAACTTGCGAAAGAGTGTACTGGATGTCCGCCTCCTTCTCGCTGCCGCGTGCGTGCGTGTGTTCCCAGATCAGCTTTTAAGAAGGCGGGCATACATCAATGAACCAAACAAATCCGATGATGCAGTTGCACCACCACTGTAGGCTCCTTTACTGCTGGATTGGCTCATAATTGCCGCAAAAAAAAAAAAAAAAGTCCCATTTTCTTCTCTGCTTGCCTCAGCCTTGTCAGAGAACCTCCACAGAGATGTAAATGTCACTTCCTTTCTTCTCGAACACAGCAGTTTACAAATGACGATGATGTATACAGCGCTGAGTCGTTATTTGAAGCGCTGTCAGTTGCAATTCACACTCTCCGAGTGTAATGGCTGCTGATTTATACAGGAAATATCGTGCAATGGAAAAAGTGGTCGGAATAATCAGACTGTATCCCCTTGCAGCCCTACAGGCCACTTTCACAGCTCTACATGGATGTTGTTATAAAACACTGATAAAGCTTTGATTTGCCGGAAGTGCGCGTGTGTAAGCTTGTGTGTGTTTGTGTGCGATTCGTCATGTAATATTGTCAGTCAACAGTCGCTCGCGGACAGATTTAGGAAGTGTGCCGTTCTGTTATCATCAGATTCTACTTTGATGACTCAGAGCAGAGACATTTGTTATGTGATTCAAACCACTTCAAGTCTAGCGTGCAGTATCATTCTTGCTCTTTCTTAATCTCTCCGAGACATTGGCATAAAAATATTTATCATAATTGCTTGATGAAACTAGAGATGTTCAATACCACATTTCTCAGACCGATACAGTACAAGTATTTTTTTCACAGCTAGCGATACCAAGTATCGATATTACTAGTACTTAAAATACATTAAATATAAATGAACTAAATGACAGATAATTCTGAAGTAGGCGTGATGATTCACAGGTGTGTCGGCCACAGTGTAGCATCAATTATTGGCAAGGAAGACTTACTTGATGTGAGATTTTCTTATTATTATTTTTTGTCTAAAATATCGTTGGCTAGTCATCATCCCGCATGTATACCCGATAGCTTGAAATAAGGCCGGATTAGCCTGATATTGGTACCTGGTATTGGTACTTACCCAGTCCTAATAAAGACGCATGGGTCCTTAAAATTGACTTCTCTTTATGATTTGGTTATCTGTCTGCTGCATGCACCACATGCACTGATGCACACAGTAACTGACTAGCACAGTGAGTCTCAAAGTGTGGGAAGTGGTATGCAGATTCTCTCTAGTGGCATGTAAAAGAATCACAGTCCAAATGCAGGCTAGTTGTATTTCCATCTAATTTTTAAGAAATATTTGTTTTGAAACTTTTATGACTGTAGTATTGTCCTTTAACTGATGTGGAATCCAATTTAACTGAATCATCATATCAATATAGCTGTTTTTTTATATTACTATACTTTAACGCAGCATCAATATTAAAAATGGTGGAATGGCTGACAGTAATATTAACTCTACTTTTTTGTTCATTCTTTATTGTTTTTGCTGAACACTTGGGCCTAAAATGCTACTGTATTCCAATATCGGTCATAATGATGGCACTTGGAATGCTAACTATATTTTTTAGGTGGTACTTGGTGGAATAAGGTGCTGCTTCCCCAAATAGCAATACAATTGCTGGTTTTGACTGTGATCGTCCTAGTTTTGCACAAGTGTGATTCAGTTGCAGTCTGGACACAGAGGATGAACGTTTCCTGTTTTGGCTGTTTCTAAAAGTCACTCGTCACTTTTTTTGATAAATGACAGCCCAGTGGTCGACTGGTTAGCACGCTGGCCTCACAGTGCAGAGGTGCTGGGTTCGATGCCGGCTCCGGCCTTCCTGTGTGGAGTTTGCATGTTCTGCCCGTGCCTGCATGGGTTTTCTCCGGGTACTCCGGTTTCCTCCCACATTCCAAAAACGTGGACGGTGGGTTGATGGAACACTGTAAATTGTTCCTAGGTGTGAGTGTGAGCGCGGATGGTTGTTCGTCTATGTTTGTCAGGGTGTACTACCCGAAGATAGCAGGGATAGGCCCCAGCACACCCAGAGACCTTTGTGAGGATACGTGGATCAGAAAATGGATGGATGGATGGATTTCTAAAGGGGTAGAAATATTCCCCAACAATAACATGTCGTCAGTCAGCCTCTTAGTGTTCCCCCAACTCTGCTCCTTGTCATCTTGGTCATGAAATCCATATTGTGGGTTGGCACACCCTGCAGTAAAGGGGAGTGGGATGAGCAGTGGTTCATTTGCATGAGATGGGACCACCCCTCTGAAAGCGCGCTGATTTCAGCTGGTCTCTAAAGAATGTGAAAATAAACTTTCATTCACGGTCCTCGGGATATTTTTTGATGAAATGACATGTCATTAAAACACATGGGAACTATTTTCAATTATAAATCAAATCATTTGTTCAAACACAAAGTATTTCCACTGCAAGGTTGGACTCCAGCTGGATTTGTGTTTATATCTCAGTCGCACAGCAAAGGAAACCGAGATTGTGGCTGAAAATGACTCAAAAGAGTGGATGGCAGGCAAGGGAACGGACTGTTGACAGCAATTTGAGGGCAATCTATCAGTCCCAAAATTGTGTGGCAAGTGGCAGCACTGTTGTTCCTCGTGTTTGTGTTGCCACGCTGATAAATATTCATCCAAGAAAACTCATTCCTGTTATGATAAAATGCCTAAATGAACATGTTTATGACTGATATTTCAATTTCCAGTGTGAAAATGGAACTTTTGTGCGCTGACAGATGGATAATGGGTGGATTTCCCCCCCCTCTTTTTCATTTCAGTTGTGCTGCTGGATACAACGTCTGTGCTAGGAGAGCTCGGATGGAAGACGTATCCTATAAATGGGGTAAGGGTTCTGTGCCCAACTATTAACATTACTGTATTTACTCTCCATGTTGGGTTTTTTTTGTTTGTTTGTTTTTGGTTGGGGGTTTTTTGGTGGTGGTGGGGGAGGGGGGGTCTTTGTTGCATCGACCCGATCGATTATAGTGACGCGTACGTCTTTGTTTTCGGTCAGACGCCTCTCTGGCCTCATGGGAAACAAGGTAACTTGGAAACACATAATGAGATCACATCTCTTAGGAGGCTTTTTTTTAATGTGGTTCAATCTTTTCTTGTCACTTCCTTTCCCTTCACAGCCAAGTCACCGCAATATTTCACTCCCTTAAATGTGAACTGTGGGGGAAGAAAATTGGGTGGCCATTAGTCCAAATGTCCAGCAGTAGCTCTAATAAGTATAAACACACACACGATCTACAGGAGAGCATAGCAATGCTGAGTGAATAAAATTTCACTGTGCATTTGGACCTCATTTCACCTTTGGTTGCCAGTGCTCCTATACAAGAGAAAAATGATTGCATGCACTGTGCCAAACACTGTATTTATGACAGTCTACTACTCAAAACGGAGATTTCCATTCCGCTCAGACAAGGTGCCTCAAGCACAACTCTGCTATCCTACCTGACTGAAAATGTGAACTCAGGTGTCATGTCATATGAAGGTGTTGCTTTACTGAAATAAAAATGGCAATGATTTGGACGATTTACAGAATATCCATTCAGCACTCAATAATAATATTGCTTTATAGATTTTTTTCTGATCCATTATATTTTTGTATGTAGTTTTAATCGTAGAACACTGAGGTCAACTATTATGCGTCCCCATCATCTCTTTGTGATAATCCTCAAATTTCTGAGTCATTTTCTGGTTGTTGCCTCCTTTTGAGTGGACCTACAGTGAACAAAAGTCTAGAGACCTTATTTTCGTGCCCAGTGCAAGATCTAACTTTATGCATGGGTGGAGATTTTCATTCTTCTGGTATTTTTTTCGATGTACGTAGTTAGAAAGGGGCGTTTGCACTGCTGTGAGAGTGAATGCAGCCAATTTAATTGCCAGCCAATTGTTTCGACTTCTCATTCTTTTTAAAGTCGGCTCAAGTGAAGTGCGCGGTCTACATGGTTGAAGCATAATGGACTCACGCACTGGAGTCTATGCAGAAGATCGGCACGCCAATGTACGTTTTCAGCAACTGCAAGAAGATCCTTGTCGAGCGCCCTCCACCCCCAACTGCGCATCTGTATGATGCCCCCCCCCCCACACACACACACACATACACGAACACAAGTCCACTAAAATTGCATTACACCACCTGCACCACAACTTAGACCTGCTCGAGCTGGTCTAAAGTCTACTTTCTGTCACCAAATTATCAGGTGCACCGGGGTGTGTGATAGAAAATGCCCTTGATCTGCAAGGATGCCCAGCGAGGTTTAGTGCCGTCTGCCAAATTAAACACTGTAAGCTAAACTTAAACCGCCACAAAAATTAAAATGGAACAATTTTTGCGCATGTGCATTTTCTACGAAAACAACGCTTCTCTCAGTCACATTCTTGTTGCTTACCCTTTGTGTGGAACAACAGTGACCAAAAGACACTGCATTGCTGTTGCCCTTCTTAACATTTGGCATGTCACTGCCTGTTCTGATGATGTTCAAGTCCACTTCTCAGCAAAGTGTCTCACTATAAATCAACGTCCCTACTTGACTCGATGAGATGTTGAGCCTCTCACATATGCTGACAACTTTACTTTGATGCTTTAAAATGCTAAACAAGTTCGTGTAGTTACTGCAGTTGGAACACTGGTGTCAAACTCAAGGCCCGGGGGCCAGATCCGGCCTGCCACATCAATTTATGCGGCCCTCGAAAGTAAATCATGTGTCACCTTCTGTGATCCTTGCTAAAATCTGTACCCAAATGACAAATTGTCAATGAAGTTTTGCAATAATTTTATTTCCCTCTTTACACTCACTTGAACAATAATTGAGCGCCAAAGTGGCCCGTGACAAAAATCTGAGTTTGACACCCTGTTTTTATGCACTGTATGTAACACAATGTTTCATGCAGGCACTTCCCCCACATCTGTAAGACCTGAGCCTCTCTTACTTTGAGTATCGACTACTTAAATGATCCTCTTCAGCAGAATCCCTGAGGTCCCCCCTGTTCCTCTGTGCACTCGTCTCTCTCCATGCAAGGTTTGCAGTAACCCATATCAGGGTTATGGGGGTGATTACATCATGTAGGTCGTGGTGACAGCCAGCCAGAGTATTGAGAAAAAGGCAAGGGGAGGCCACCGCCTCCATGATTAAGCTGTCAGCCCTCTCCCCTCCTCACTCATCCACTATCCATGGATTTAGCATTAATATTTAAGGCATCAAGGTGAGAGGGCCTGAGGGAAGGTGTGAAGATCTTGGGAGGTAAAATACTTTAAATCCCCTTCTCTTCCTGGGACCTGGCAAGAGGAAGTCAATCCCCACCATATTAGACACAGCCTGGTATCAGGCCAGTTGAGTAAGCCACCTTGTAGCTGCCTGCCGGGGATGTACCAGTGGTAGCTTGACATATAAACTGCGACTCACAATTTCAAATGGATGAACATCCTTCTAACAGTAATGATAATAATAATAACTAACAATAATGATGATAAAAATGATAACAATCATAACTAGTATTATTATCATTATTAAATAATACATGGAAGTTCATGGAAGCAGTGTCAATTACTGTAGTTATTGCTGTCACAGTAGGTCTTTCGAGAAATTACGCACGCAAAAAAAAAAAAAATTGTTATGGTGAGAGTTGTATGTGCAATTTCATAATTTTGGGGCAAGTGAGGTGTACAACTCAAATCGTGGGCTTTCTTTTCCATTATCAAAGCTATGGGCGAATCGTGAAAAAGCTCAAGGTGAATGAATGAAGGACGGACTGAGTCAGGTGAAGGTAAAGAGGTCTGATCTGGCGTCTGCATGGAGCCACATTAAGTCCCAGTCCGGATGGGCAAACACTCTGCTGAAATATGCATGAGTCATTTCCCATGTGCCGTATGGGTGAATTGAGAGGAGGGAGGGGGCAGAGTGGAGCAAAGTCCAAAGCACCGTATTTTCGAAATGCCGTCATGAGTAGAAGGAATTAGTCTTGTCGATAAGTGACACATTGGTACACTCTTTCGGTAAATCTCAGGCAATCATATGCATTATAACTCCTCCCACTTGACAGGGCTCATTTACTCAAGAAAAGCTTTGCACGTGAATATATGCAAGGCCGCAAAGTGGTGCTGAAAGAACGAAACAGCAGGTCAAATTGTTTCTGTCATTTTAAAGGCAGTTTCTGTCTCATAATGCAAATGTCATAGTGCTTCGCAGCGGTGTCGCAACATCTTTTGTAGCAGTACGTTTTACGACAGTAGAGTTCACGCACCAAGCTGAGTGGATGCCACCTCTTCCTGTCGCAACTAATAAAGAGTTCACGAATAAACTCGACTCGGATCGTTCTACAGTCTCTCAAGAAAGACTTTTTATCGCAAAGCTCAACCGAAAAAGCAACCTGCATCTTATCTCAAAGCACTTTCTGCACACCTGATACGATTACTGAGTAAATGTTGTCCTTTGAAGAGGAATGAGTTTTCCGACGGCATATTGCATGATGGCCAGCAATGCGGAGGGGAGAAAGAGGAATAATCTGGAAACACTCAGCTTCCCCCGACGGAGGCTTTGAAAAAGGTAGGATGATTTAGCATGGCAGCGTTCATCCCGGTGACCTCTGCCATAACTGGGCTTAAGCAGTAGCGGGGGATTCCTTAATTGGCTTGTTTCTTTTCAGGGACACACAGGGGCTGATAGCTAATGTGCTCCCTTTCGGCATCTCGCTGACAGCTTTTTGGGCTAACCCTCACCATGTGAGGAGTACAAGGGAGGTAACTGGAAGGAGTAAATGATTGGATATTTTTTAGGTTTGACAAAGTCGTAGCCCATAACCAATCTGAAGCCTTTGAAGAATTGTTGACAGATAGGAAAGCAAAAACCAGACTGATTGTTCAATAGTGCATATTATTAGCTTTAAATAAAATTTGAGTTGTTTTTTTTTTCAACTCAAAAATCTGCATTTTAATTTTAATCGATTACCCCATCTTGAAATGAAATTATTCAAAATAAATTTCTTTTAAGATCAAAAAAAAAAAAAACCACACACACATTTTTGATGTGTCATACTCAAGAGGGACAAACAGGGTACAGGAAACGAGCCATTTGAAACCAAGCACTGAATATTTGCCCATTTCCGAATTCTCAGTGAGGTCACAGTCTTCCTTCAGTTGCTGTCTTTGCTATCTGAAACGTCTTGTCATGTTTCACAGATTAAGTGTGGTTGATTCAAACAGGATTTGTCTCTGCCGCTGCCTATATCGTCGAGTAATAGCCTTGCACCTAGCAGAGCAATCACAGCGCTCCATCAAGCTCTGACACATCCATTTGTCTCACTCTTTGTGGTCCGAGAGAAAACCAAAGGAAGATACTGGCACGCCATGTCTTTTATTGTATTTTGATTTCTAAAGAGAACAAAATGCTCAATCTTCACCTGTTGTATTGTTTTAACGCACACATGTCAGGCCACCAACGATAAGGGGTTTGATGAAAATGCAACTTGGTGCTGTCAAACGGTTGAGGGAAAAATGGAAATACTGCAAAGCAAGAATGATCGATGCAATGTTGACATTTTATTCCTGCTGATCAATAAAAAGCAAGCTTGTGGACACGTGGAAGATACATCATAACACACAGTCACTGTTATTCTGTTAGCCTATCACCAAAAAGTCATTTTAATCTTAATAATCACAGAAAAAAACAAGTGGAATGTTCATGTATTTTCAAACTCAAAACCAATACATGTGTGCAAAAGGGAGCCCACAAACAAGATTAATACAAAGAAAAAAATTAAAAAGCATTCTTTTTTTTTGTTTGTTTTTAACCACCCATTTTTTTTCAGAAATCACAGATAAACATTCAATATATGTTT